TAGTTGGTACTGGTAGCAAAAAATAACATACACAATAGTATTCCAGCCTTCCTCATAAATATTTTATGCAAATATTTTTTCTGCATTTTGATTGCTGATTGCCTTATATTAAAGTGTTAACAACAAAGTTCCAAAAGTGTTGCTTTTATTCAGACATCTCCTCCAGTGTTTGAATGTAATGTAGAACGGGCTATCAATAAGGGATATGATACATTTATTTTAGAGGGATTTGTGTCGGTAACTGCAGAACTGAAAGACCAGACGTTTATACAAAATTTGAAGAATCTTTTATTCTTGCAAATATTTAGATTTTTCAGACCAGACTTCCTGTTATTACAGTGTACTGTTGTAAAGCATATAAATATATTGTATATTCAGTATCTAGTAGATAGCTGTGTCAGCATGTGTAGGCTGAAAAAGAACAAGTAAAGTTTTCAGGTGTCAGGGAGAGACCCTCATTCACACCTGAAGAATACTCCACATATTACATAGTGTAATAAACACAATAAAATTAATAAAAGTCGAAACAATTAAATGCAAAATTAATTTTTATAATTGGAAAAAGAGTACTTACTGGGTCACATGTTAACATTATGTTAAGCATTTAATGCACCACCTGGAGATTTTACAAAGTAGAAGAGTGGTGCATTAGATCATTATTAAAAAGTGTGTTATAACTGTATACTGCATTATGGTACTGTATACTGCATTATGGTGCATTTTGAAAAGGTGAAAAGTGAAAAACTAGAAAACACATATCCATATTCAACCAAATATCTATTTTACAAGGCAAAAAACACCCAAGAATTAATTGTATTTAAGAATGATTGAGGAACAACCCCTAGATGTAAGTTAGGACCCCCCATCTACAGTGGGTGGATAAGAAATAAGATAACATTATTGACCATATACAATTTCTTGCATTAGGAATTTGTCTTTTCACATACCCGAGCTTGCTCTCCATGAGACACAAAATCAGGGAGAGAGAAGGTTGGGGTCAGAGCACAGGGTCAGCCATTTAGACAATGCCCCTGAAGCAGTTGGGGTTAAGGGCCTTGCTCAGGGGCCCAACAGAGTAGGATTTCTCTGCAGGCTGCAGGATTTGAACCAGCAATCTTCCACCACAGGTGCAGAGCCTTAGCCACAGTGCCACCACTCCACCCCAATGGATGATGAATGCATTAGAATGCATTGTTCCTTCCCCACCAAATCTGTGGGTTTAGTTTAAAAACAGATCTTTTTCATGTTATAAACAGTATACAGGTATATAGTATATTATCTGCTGTCCAATGACTATGTTTATGCAATTAAAATTAATATGCAGTATATCTGTAACAAAATATTTTTTTCTAACTATGACAGCTGGAACTAGATCAAAACCGTCGTGGGGAAACAGATGGTTTGTGTGGTAGATATAATACTCCAGGTAAGACCTTTTTCTAAAGCCATCTACACATTTTTTACTGTATATGCTTCGCTTTTGCATTCTAATATAATAATATCTTTCCTAAATCAGATGACAGCAAGAAATTGATTTCTGACTCTCAGATTTCTAATGGAAATCAATGTGAAACCAAGGATGAAAACACAGACTGTGACAAGAAGGTAATTATTTTTTATACATTTTTTTTTTAAATTTTAATCTGAAGGAAATTCACAGAAAACAACCAGAAGCACAGGACAATTAATCAACATGAGAAACTGATTTTACACAGCAAAAGGTTTAAGACC